CACAGGCGAGGGGCTGCTCCAGCTAAGCCAGGCACCAGTTAACTATTTACTCTAGTATTCATGCTGGTAAGGTAACTGGGTAATCAATTACCCTTTTATATTGCTATCTTGAATCCAATCACCTTTTTTACTATGTCCAGGTAAACATTTGTTCCCACCCTCACAGCCTTACACATCCTTAAATCTGTCTGTCTTGTACATACAGGCGAGGGGCTGCTCCAGCTAAGCCAGGCACCAGTTAACTATTTACTCTAGTATTCATGCTGGTAAGGTAACTGGGTAATCAATTACCCTTTTATATTGCTATCTTGAATCCAATCACCTTTTTTACTATGTCCAGGTAAACATTTGTTCCCACCCTCACAGCCTTACACATCCTTAAATCTGTCTGTCTTGTACATACTAAAAAGTCGCCCTATAACAGGGGTGGGTAAGTCAGCCTCCACTGGCCGGATGCAGTTCACCAAGGCAGTGGATCCAGCCCACAGCTACCCTGCCAGACCTCCACCCCCAAGCCAACCAAGACCTGGGGACGAGGGAGCTGGAGGTTCTCTCTAAGTACTGGGGGCGGGGCCAAAGACTTCACAAGCTCCCCTGTCTCCAGGCCAATCAGAGTCTGTGGGCAGGGGAGCACAGGAAGCCTCCTGGCCCTGCCCCTCCTGTGTAAGGCCCCACTCCTTCTAGGGCGGGTGAATGACCACTTCAGAAATTTGTGAAGTGGCTCCCCTTCAAAAATTATTGCCCACCCTTGCCCTAGAGCATCTGCTTTAGAGGCTCATGCTGCTTTTACTAGTTTAACTACATCTATTTAAAAGCGGTCAACTTTTCTAGAACAGAAGTAGTTTTACGTGCCTCTTTTTCCCAACACTTCTCCTAGACTTCTCTCTTTACTCCTTTCTTCATTTCCTTCTCTTAGTAATGGGTACTTGTTTTTATTATTATTGACTATCATGCATCCTGCTGTACATGAAAGTCTCCTACACTTACTGTCTCTCCTTAAAACCCAAAAATCTTTCAGACGCCATTCACATGTGTAATCTCCTTCCATTTTTCTTCTTTCATTTGTGGTCCCATAGTGTCTCATATTTGAGCTTTCCAACATGGGGAAGGATGGGGGTGAACTGGATTTGGGGAAGGTGGCAATGGTGTAGCTGCACTAGTGTAATTGCAATGCACTAGTGTAAAAAGTAGCCTGAAGGAAAACTGCACTGATGTAAAAAAATAGGGATGCTGATGGGTAACCGCTAACCTGGTAAGTGTGCTTACTGGATAACAGTTACCCAGTACTCAGGGAGCAGGCCACCACCCATGGTCCATTGCACATGGAGAGCTGCTCCAGTATTGCCGGGCTCCTGCCTTCCAGCTTATGTCAGAAGCACCTGGGCTGGAGCTGCCCACCCCGGTATAATCAATTAACTAGTTAAAATTTAGGTTTAACTGGTTAACTAATAAAATGGGATTTTACATCCCAGGTAAAAATGATTTTTGGTGCAGCTTACCTCCAAGTCACTTTTTATGTACACATTTGCAACTTGTCGATGCTATGTGTTCATATTGATGCAACTACAAACAAAACCAAAAATAGCAAAAGCAAAGCCTTAGTCAATCTTATCTGTCTCAGACTGCCAACAATCTTTCATCCTGGTGACAGTACATCTTAACAGGAAAAGAGCTGCTGCTGGAAAACATAACTCCTCTCTACTATGTCTGTCTGGATTTACTAGTGTATCAATCAAAATACAGCATGCAAGAAGTCACAATAAGAAAGACTACACAAACATTAAACAATTCCATACTTACCCAGCAATGACAACTCCGTCACAGGAATGAACATCACACAAAACTTTACCCAACTCGTATTGCAGCTGGCTCACAGCACCGATGCGGTTCTGCATAGAAATACAGGGACACGCTATTTTTCCTTTAATAGGCTCATCTAACACCAGATTCTCCTGGAAGCACACACCCTCCTACGTTTTTTATTGGTCAAGATTTCATTTTAATGGCCATTAGAGGAAATAATATCCATCCACTATTTGCCGATCCCCTGTGCGTTTCAGAGTCTCTACTTCCCCATGTGTTCCCTTGATAAGAAGAATGACATTGATTTACTATGCAAGAAATAGCCTGTAGAAGTCTACATGCATCTCCCACTCATCAAATTACAAGGTGACTTGGGATGGGCTGGAAAAGGGGATAGAATTACCTGCACAGACTAATTCCAGTGGGGACTCTTCTCAAAAGCAACAACTGAAAAACCTGGACTTTAAGTGGTGATTACATAGGGCGTAGAAGCTATGGTCCAGAGTCAGAGCACATTTTCAAAGTGAAAGCAAAACAGGCAAGCAAGAGGGCACCTTCACTATCTTATTGGCAAAAAAGGCAGCAGTCAGAGGTTCACTTTTCACTAAGGCTGTGTCTACACTGGCGCGATCTTGCGCCATAGTGACCGCTCTTGCGCAAAAACTTGCTACCTGTCTACACTGGGCGTGTGTTCTTGTGCAAGTAAACTGATGTTCTACTGTATGAAATCAGGGCTTCTTGCGCAAGAACTATGATGCTCCCGCTCAGGAATAAGCCCTTTTGCGCAACTGTTCTTGCACAAGAGGCCAGTGTAGACAGGCAACATTAATTTCTTGCGCAAGAAATCCCTATGGCTAAAATGGCTATCAGAGCTTTCTTGCGCAAGAGAGCGTCTACAGTGGCCATGTGCTCTTGCGCAAAAGCATCCACGCCAGTGTGGACGTTCTCTTGCACAACTACTTTAATGCAAGAACTCTTGCGCTAAAGAGTTTTTGTGAAAGATCACACCAGTGTAGACGTAGCCTAACAGTAGAACAACTGATTTGATTGTGTTACATGGTCATCACTAGGTACTGTTTTAAAAAATCCTTTCATTTTACCTTCCAATTGGTTCTTAAAGTCCGCTCTTTGGCACGGCAATCTTGAAGGGCAAGTTTCCAGCAGGAACAATCAGAGATGCTGGCATCAGGCAGGTACCCTTCCTGTTGGCACAGTCTGAACCACAGCACTTCATCTTCTGCAAGTATTTTCCATGTCTTGCTCACCTAAAAGCAGACAAAAAATGAAATATATACCAGATTACTGTCATCCAAATTCAATGCATTTATTTTGCTCTACCTTTGTGATAACATGCCCTTTTAGAATTTGAGGGGGAAAAAGGAGGTAGTATTTTTAAAGATTCAATATAAATTCATATTCAAAATTGCATTTGCACATTTATAGGATAAAGATAATTCTGATGCAAGCATCATCCCTTTAAAGTCTTGCTGACAATGATTGATTAGTAAGGTGACAGCAGTGAGATATAAAATACTGAATTACAGATTGCATCAATAAGAATGAAGTATTAAGCAAAAAATTGTAAGTAGCCTCAAGTTGCTGTCTATTTCAAACAGAAATGTTTCACCACAATTAACTGCATCTAGAACTTCCATTTTAAACAATTCAATAAAATGCTTTGAGTGGTGATTCTACAATTTTTGCATGAAAGAGAACAGCAAAATACAAGTGAAATATCTCCACGTGAGAGATGCGATCGCCAATGAAATCAGTGATAAGCCACACACTGATTAAGAAACATAAATGCAACCTGAAGGTTGCACTATATTTTAGTGAGTTATAATCAAATGTCTAGAGCCTATTTTCAATCCTAAATTGTATCTCATGTCTAAGTGTCATTTAACAAGTAACCCAAAATTTATTGCATCCAGTTCATTTACACATGTCACGGCCAATCATTAAATATGCCAGATAAAAACTAGAAAATCCAGACTGAAAATAGAAACGCTTTACAGAAATGCAGTTATATTTTTGCTCATGGGAATCAAACAACTAGAAATATCAAACAAGACAATGATCTAGGTTACAGTTATTCTCTTAGAAGTGAGGAAACGTGCACTGTTTCTTCTCTGGCTATACATGTCTTAAAACAACAATAACAAGAGCTTCACAAAAGCTTTTGTTAGTCTTTAAGGTACCATACAACTTCATAGACTTCAATGGCCATCATCATGTCCATCCTAAAGGAACACGGCCATGCAGCTCTGGAGAAACAAAATGATGCCAAAACTTAAAACTGTTCTAACCCAGTAGGGAATCACCTTTCAATTCCAGTTATTTGAAAGTAATACAAATCTACACACTGTTGCCTAGACAAAGACAAAAGTTACCATTTTTTGCTGGCACAACAAAAAAGCAGCTGTTCTGCGGGAGTTAAAACTCTGGGCAAACATGGTGGATAGGAAACAAACCTCTCTGTCTCTTTAGCTGGAACTCATTTTTGCTGACATTAATGAGGCAGGTTTGTGCACAAATGGAGAAGTAAACAAAACAAAACCATGCCAACTTCTGCCCTGCTACCATTATATTGAAGAAAAAAAAATTAAGTGTTGCCAAAATGGATAACATTTGCTGAGACATTTCCAATTTTAAGTTTAAGTTGGTTTTAAGTAGTAAAAAAAAATTAAAACTGTAATAAACGATATCTAACATAACCTTTCCTTAATGCACCAAAACTGGCATGACAATCCCTAGTAAAAGCCCCACTGAGCGAGCCTCAGCTGCAAGAAGTCTCTAATAAAAGTGTCTCAAGCATTTCACTTCACAACACTACTGTGAGCTGCAGCATTAAAAACCATCTATTGGCTTGAAATCAGCTTTATTATCT